TTATTATTATTATTATTATTATTCTCTAGCTGTTCTCCCCATGACTTTGATTTGATGAATATTCACACCAAGAGACCGAGATCTTACCTGGTCAAGCAAAATGCAAGAGCTGCATTTGTTGGACTCCACTATGGCTCTCCTGTTACTACCCCAGGATGCCTGTGGTGTTATGGAATCCTGGGATTTGTAGTTTTGTGAGATATTTAGCCTTCCTTGTCAGAGAGCTCTGGTGCCACAATGAACTACAAATCCCAGAATTCCATAGCATTGAGCCTGGGCTGTTCAGAGTGGCATAAAAGTGCTTTATTTCTGCAGTGTGGCAGCAGACATAGAAAACTGTTTATACCTTGGATTCTTCCATTTGCTGTCCATATTCTCTTGGTCACTTTGCCTGCCTCTTTTCTTTGGATGTCCAAACTGCATTTCTAAATGCTCACCTGGAGTTTTACATTATTGCAATGCTAGAAATTTGGGAGCGGAAGGGAAATTTCATTTGAAGGAGGAGAAATTCTTAGGGATGGTGGGAAACAACACCTTTATTTTGCCATCCCTGTTCCAGTAGTGGTAGGCTTCTGCAGATTAAGTATAACAAAAATGGGGGAAGTACAATATTCCCCAGTTAGTGCCAAAAATCCAGTCTAAATATTAGGATCTTTGCCTGCTGGCTGAAGAGTAGTGTGTATGTGTATGACAGAGAGAGAATTTCTTGAGCAGGCAATGAGAAGCTCTCTCCATCATGAACACATCGTGGAAATGTGTAAAATTTTCTACCTTCTGATGGAAAAGAGATACTTGAAAAGGTGTTGACATTTCAGAAGCCAGCATATAATTTAGGTTTTCATTACTCTGTGTGTCTGTGTTTTATTAAAAGTATGGTCAAGTACAAAAAGGGACCCAGCGTGGTGTAGTGGTTTGAGTGTTGGACTACGACTCTAGAGATCCGGGTTCGATTCCCACTTGGCCATGAAACCCACTGGGTGACCTTGGGCAAGTCACACCCTCTCAGCCTCAGGGGAAGGCAATGGCAAACCTCCTCTGAACAAATCTTGCCAAGAAAAGCCCGTGATAGGTTCACTTTAGGTCACCCTAAGTTGGAAATGATCTGAAGACACACAACACACAATGTGCAAAAAGAATCATGTAGACTAAAGATGTCCATATGCTTATTTTGCATCCTAGAATCCTAGAGTGACTTGTGATTAGCTGGATATTTGAAGGGATTTTGAAAACACCAAACGGATGTCTGTTAAAGTGAGAGACATGAGTCGGTCAAAGTTGGAAATTAGTTATAGACAGCACTCCTGAAAGATGCCCATCCAACCTCTCTTTAAAGACCTCCATAGATGGAGAGCCCACCACCCTCCAAGGCTGTCTATCCCACTGTCAAACAGCTCTTACAGACAAGAAGTTCATCCTAATGTTTAGGTGGACTCTCTTCTCTTCTAATTTGAATCCATTGGCTCACATTCTTGTTTCTGGAGCAGCCGAAAAACAAGCTTGCTCCATCTTCTGCGTGACACCCCTTCCAATGCTCAGCACTTATTGAGATCACTGGAATCAGCTTTTTCTGGTGAAGCTTTCTGATTTTCTGAAGTCAAAGGCTTTCATGGCCAGCATCCATAGTTTTTTTTTGTGGGCTTTTTGGGCTGTGTGGCCGTCTTCTAGAAGAGTTTCCTTCTCTGAAGATGCCAGCCACAGACGCTGGTGAAACGTCAGAAGGAAACTCTTCCAGTATATGGCCACACAGTCCGAAAAACTCACAAAAAAAACAACAAAAACTATGTTTCTGATTTATTGATATGTATTTTTAAACCCCTGGCTTTCAACCTCTCTAGGTT